GTGCTGGGCCTACAAGGAGAGAGTTATTAATGGGGTGGGGAGAGGGGGAAGAAAAAGTATGTGAAGGAGAAAGAAAGGAGGCGTCAGCAGTGGCCTATTTTCGCTTACCCGCCCTGCTGTATGCAGCAAGTAACCAGACCAGGCTGATGGCACCACGCGACGGCCGATGTGGCATGAGAATATTGTTGGTTGTGTAGGTTATGGTATCAGGAACTGCAACTGTATGTATGCAGCAAGTAAGGCGACCAGGCTGATGGCACCACGCGACGGCCGATGTGGCATGAGAATATTGTTAGTTGTGTAGGGGTATCAGGAAGAATATTGTTAGTTGTGTAGGTCATGGTATCAGGAACTGCCTTGAAACTGTCTGAAAACAAGGCTGGAAGTTGACAATCGACCGATAACTAAATACTTTTGGGGGTTATCCTCATGACAAGTTTGAGGATTCCTGTTAATAGACAGCGTTCATTTTGGATGTTGATTACGCCTGGACCAGGAGCGAAGTAGGAATGAGCGAAAATTCTAGCGATGGCTTTGAAACAAGGAAGAAACCACATATGATACTCTAGCTGATCAACTAACTCAATGACTGTTTTGAAGCAACAACGGAAACATCCAATGATCTAGTCGTCCTATAAGTTTGGCGACTTTATTGTTCAGTGAACTATAAACTGAACAACATGTGCTACCAACATTCGCATCATCTTTCGTGGGAATGCTTTTAACCCAGTACTTTGAACAAGAGTACGGACAAAAAAAGTACTACTTCTGGCTGCCAAATGGTCGAACAGTCATCTCCCTATAAGAAGTACCCACAGGGGAAGCAAGTTGTGGTCTTTGTGTGGATTTGCCTCCTACATAGAGGGACAAGCTTGCTTACAGACTGAGTACTTATTCTATTTTGTGTGGTCTTGTGTCCATTGCGATTCCGCTACTTATTTTGATACAAACAAGTAAATACAGCGTCGTTCTTACACTTCACATGAGTACCCCATGATAAGTCTAGAATAGACGTAATCTCTTTTCAAACATTACTTTTTCAGAGAGCTATTGTGACTAAAGTTGTTGGTTTACGCTGCTCCAAGTAGATCCGTTCCATCAGAAGTACCGCCAGCAACGATATTGTAGACTTAATTGTTTAATTCAGCTCAGATGGATCTGGAGAAAATCAGTTCGAAATGTAAAAAAACTTCCGCATGGACATAGTAGTACTCACAGACGTTTCCCTGCTTAGGCCGAGGACCATTGGGTTCTGGTTGGATACTTCATTTTCGTGTGTCTTCATAACCTCATCACTGGCAGTAAGACCAGATGAGAACACCGGTGCCGCACTACCGCGCAACCACGTAGATTCATTTTGATTCCCGTAATCGACAGAAAAAGAAATTGAGGAGGGAAGGTGACCTGGGGCTAGTCTACCAAAAACATCCGAGGTGCCTATATCTCCAGCACTCAGTCAGACAATATGGATAGAAACAGAGTGCATGGGCGCCAACGACACTGGTTACCCGCCACCTCATCCAGCGTCTCTAGTCAAGAACAGAAAGGGTCAAGTGTACTACACCCTAGAAGGTGAAAGCCACCAACGGTACCCAAACATTTCGTAACACCTTTCATTCCCTTGCGCCAGGTCAACCTCAGTCTATCTCTGGGATTCCGCCATTCCGAATTAGGCACGAAAACAGCGCTCATCCTAGCACGTGTAACACATGACCCAGTCCCCTTAGCCTTCAGTGCTGGATGCATTCTTTGAAGGAAGTACCCTTTTTTACGTATCCCTCGTTTGTTCACAACTCACGTTTTGCTTATTTTCAACCGTCATAGCTGATTCGACTTTTTCTCGTTTTCTACTAACTGCCCCGCACCACAGCAAAACAGAAACATATTTATTTTTGTAAGTTGTAGGATAATTGCTTTCCTTATTTATGAGTACCACTATAGAATAAGATAACCACGTACTGGAGCGTGGTCAGATATATGTTAGTATAGTATGGTGGTAGCATACGCAGATTCTTTTGTCTATCCTCCAAGTCAAAATTCATTCTAAAGAGTCCTGTTTACGAACATCATCGGCTAGCGTCACTGAAAGACGAAGCCACACGGTTGTGACATCACAGCACCTCATGAGAGAAGATTGGTCGTATTTTGAAAGAAATTGGTATCAAAGGGTGATGACTGCTGATTGTTTGTTGGATTCGAGAATGAAGGGCCATAACACATCCAAATTTGGAACACAGCAGCATGCCAAATCCAGTGCACGCGTAGAACTTGCATAGCTTTCCTGTCACAATCCAGCATAAGCTGCCCCCAATGACAATGAGCTGCAAGAACGGTGAAAGCTGCCCCATCACTTCCCACCTCATTCATGCAACTCAGTCATTATCAGATGGTAGAGAGTGGAAGGGACAGTGGGATTACCTAACTTTTATCCTGAAAATATACCCACATACCAGATGCACGTGACGTGTTTTGCTGTAGAGAAACTATGGGAAAAATGGTTTGTGCGGTCATTCGTGTACAAATAGAGCATGACACGTGCTACTGATAAACTGTATCTTAGTTTGCTGGTCTTTGCCTGAAAGTGGTGGTTCCCCACCGACAAAAAAAGTTTGGGGAATTGACGAGTGGTCCTTGTGGAGGGGGATGTTTTTATGGAGGGATCTTAGAGAAGGTGATTGTACCATGGACTTTGTAATGGTAAAACTTGCCTGGGCTGGGTGAATCGGGCAAGGCAAAACAGTCCAAGTAAAGGATTAAACACCGAATGGTTGGGTGGTAGTGTTCTACCTGCTCGTTCCAAAACCGACCGGACATCAACCAGACGACATGAGCACAGCATGTGAACCGCATGCAGAACGGCTGAATATACTCGCCCAAGATCATCCCTTTGTGGCAGCCCCGTAAGAAACGATCCATCTAGTTGGAGATGCTGTTGGATGCTCGCTGGGATCCACAAATCGGTAAATAAAGCTGCTGCCCGAATAGCTGGTATACAGTAGGTCAGTACTGTGTGACTGGACAGCAGTGGCTCCGGGCCTGAAAACGATAGAAACAGATAAATGATGCGAAATGCATTGTTGGAACAAGAATAGGCACGCGGCCAACTTCTTGTTTGACGACACCCCATTACTTTATATAGGCACACCAGAACTATAGCAAAATCTTGGTCGGCCGAACAACCCATGTAACAACAAAATAAACGTTTTTACAAAGTGTTTTCATCACAATCATGTGAAAAAAAACTGTGGGCAACCATTTACAAGCAAGCCACTAGAGCTGTTTCATGCAGAATGGGCGGATCAGGTCCGGACTCTGAATTGTATGGGGTAGATCAATGCTGACCGGTGGACTCGGTCGGAGAGACGTTACCTGGATAGCCATCGTTTCAAGGGTGACATGTTGGCCTACGTAACACACACGTGTTCTCCCCCTATGCACTCTTTCGGATACATGATTATGATCGTTCTGAAGGCGATTAATCAAATCCGAAATGCGAATGCTCTTGCCGTGCGTGCTATGTTAAGGTTGCCCCCAGGATTGACAGTATGATCCGAAGCTTCTTGTAAGGTTGTTTAATGCAAATATGGTGTCCTTTCTAGCGCTGGAGATTTCCAAAGATTTGTGATCCCCCAATCCCAGTTCAACCCTGTCTAACCGACTTTTTGTTACCGTGATCTAGGAGACATAGGAATGTTTATTTTCGTCCAGCTGACTAAGTTATCTGTTCCTTGGGAGATAGCTGGAGTACAAATAACTCTTAGTAGTTCCCAGCCAGGTACACCATTCAATTTCCGCGCTGAAGTGGCTCACCATCATGACTGTCATATGCAAGAGGAATATTTTAAGTAAACCCTATAAACATGCTCGAGCCATGTTCGGTTAGTCTGTTTAATTCCATGTGTTTGTGTCTGGTTGTAGAGAGTCAGGTTTCCTAAGGGTGTTAGCGGAAGACACAGGCGGTGGGATCCGTCTGACAGCCATCGGCACGTCGACGAACCAGCTGACTTAGGCTCTCTCTCATTCGTCTGTAAAATTCACTTCATCGTAAGGGACAATGCTATGAGTGGGACTGTGAAACAGACTGACTTAAATCAATTATAAATCGCTCTAGCACTGCGGTTACTGCTGGACCAATATCACGTTGCCATCACAAGAAAAGGTGCAGCAAATGGTTGGCTGCCGAAAGATAGCTACATCCCACTGCAAGTTTTGAGGAAAAAACATGAACCCAGTTCATAATTGACACCAAAGTCAGGCTTGCTGTATCTACACGTATCTCGCACCTGATTCACACAAATTCCCCACACGTTCGGTCAAACTAAAAATCACATACCAATGAATATATTTTCTCTGTCTAAGTGCAGACCCGATCCAGAAAATGTGTCAGGGGACCCCACATCCGGCTGTGGAATTGAAAATAATCGGAATTAGTCATTAAGTCATTCAAGAAGCCAACCTAAAGAAAAATGCGCTGCTTTCCAAATAAGACATTCAATAGGTTTCAACAGTGAATGTGGAGTACGATGACCTGAGGATTGATCCCCAACAAACGAACCGGAATGGATACAAGGTTAAGTGATTGCAACGATGGGTACCGCTGTTTTCATTTGCTTGCCAGACTGTGATCGATGACAATAAAAACATGTACAGCTGACGGATAGCACCTGAGAAGTGCATCACGCATTCACCTGTAGAAAAGGCTCGCATCCTAACGCAGTTCCTACTAGGCGTGGATATGGACGGTGGACTTGGGAACCACGGAGAAATTAAAGAGAGAGTTGGTGAAATCCGGAGAAAGTTTGGCGCATTTAGTTGTTTGAAGCACTGTAGAATGTAGCCGATTTAAAGCGTTGGATATATTTCCCTGATTTCTGGAACCACTCAAACTGCGTTCGGGCTCCAGCTTGGACATTAGAACCAAAGAAATCAAGCTTCTCCTAGTGAACCTTTCATGAAGATCTAATGGTTTTCGTAGCAAACAACTCAGTCCCTTGAAGCGAATCGTGTACATTTGGCTTATGAACATGAGAGTGCCACCATGATTGGTGGCACTTTGGTGGTGATTCGTCCGTAGAATTCGGATGTGCCAGCTAGGAAACAACCAGACATTCGCTCCAAATTGACATACCTACCAACTATGTAGCAGACGGACAATGAAGACTGCAACAAAAGAGCATCAAATCATCTAGACTTGGGCTAGTTTGTGCAAAAATTAAATTAAACGAAACACAGGTCAGTAAACTGAAGGATAAAGTCCATTCGGACAGATTATGCCCAAAAATCAAAGTGCTCCAAGAGAAAAGTTCACGTACGGAGAGATCAACAACAAGATGGGAATGCAAAAGTTCCCGAAGATAACTGGCTCGAACACGCTCAATTCGCTCGTTGTGAGTTTCCAGATCTTTCAACGACTTCAATCTTCTCCGGCCTAGGGAATTCAAAAAGTTTAGCACAGCTGCACGACGTTTTAACAGTTCTTGTGAGTCCGTCTGGCAACGAAGTAGTCGCTGTTGTAATTTCTCCAAGTTCCTCCGCTCTAAAACGCATAATAATCTCCGGAGAGCTATGAAAAACACTACTGTTTTGGTTCTCTTTGGTATGAAAAGAAATTGCATTCTTCAAGGATGCAGCAAGTATTTTCAATTCTTCCAAAGGAGTCTATGGAATGTTTAAAGGAAAGGTTCAGTAAAGTTACCGATTTAGGACGATTATGGCGCTGATGGAGTTGCTCGCTGAGCGTTCGGATCCTGTTGAATAAGGTTAGTCACAGCTTTGGCGTTAACATACTTCTGATTGACAGTGAAAAGACGGTTACCCAGATCTGAATAACAGCTGCGTTGTTACGCCTGAGGAACACTTTAACAAGCACTTACTTGCCGCTGACAGCACCCCGAGAATGTGTGAACGAGCCACATTTAATGCACTTCTCACATATAAAGTTGCTCTGGAACGATGTACAGATAGGGCACGGTAAGTTTGAGTGAAATTCTAAGCCTTGTTCCTGCGTGTCGACTTGAAAACATGATGCATCGATAATTTGATAGTCCTCGTCAGTGCTTTGAGCCTCACGATCCTGTGCTGACATGCATCAGCAGTAGTCCAGAAGTCTAGAAATGACAAGTTGGAATGGATAAAAAAGATTACTGGGAGTAAATGCTGAGAGAAAAGTTCATTTCCGAACACGTAGTTCACCGTAATCAGTGGCCTGTACGACCATCGTCATCTGATATCACTCTGGCATCTATCCAGCACAAAAGCTTCACTCTTGAGCACGGTTTTTTAAGATTTTAACACATACAAAACATGCCGCTCTCTGTTCGGATATTCTACTTGGACATGATGTTCTTTGACTTCACAAATCTCTTCAAGTCTCCTTCAACGGTGATAAACCTTTTTTTATCACTTTGTGGTCTGATCACTGCCAAAATAAAAACTCCCACATTGTTTGCGTATCTTGACCCATGGTATAAGCCCAGTGCCGTGAAGTCAAGTCAATATTCTGCAGACGACGAGGTTTTCGTTGCTGTTGAAGTAAATCGTTTGCTGGATCAACAAGTCAATTAGCTCTTAAATCGTCCGTAGAGGGCGTAAGTGCTCGTTACGACAGAACAACGACAGGAGAAACGAATCGTTGTTTATTACAGTCGAAATACAAACCGATGGACGCAAATGGACGCTTATCCTCTCCTCAGAATTGAGGATACGAGCAGTAAAATAACCAAATGTCGCATTTTCAGCACGTTCAGTTGTAACACCCTTCCAAGCCTAGCTGCCATGCCACGCGAAGGAAGCACGAGGGCTGGGATATTGCCAGGTTGCCCAAGCCTAGACGGCACGCCTGATCTTGAAAGTGCCTCATCAAATACCCATTGAGGAATACCCTTGACAGAATTCCCTATCAATTTCCCCGAATTCCGTTTTGGGTAACGAATGGAGTAGCGTACTTTGAAAGCGATATAGATGGCAGGATTAGCGCTGAAAAAATTACCGCGACACATGTCCATGTGGATATCACGATTTCTGGAAAGGATCAAAAAGGAACACGGTCGAGATATCCAGTGTTTTTTTGACCTAGCATAAACTTAAATCACGATAAAAGCACAATTTTAACCACTAAACCCCGACTCCTGGGCTACGGAATTATGGAAGATCCCGAACGTTTGAGCCATGCAAGAACTGCTCGTCCCGAAGGACATAAAGTCATAACAGCGTGTACTTGGCTTGTTAGCGTACTATTTTCATTGATTAAGCCGGAGTAAATCTATCTTATCATTCACAATACAACCTTCTAGTCCCTGAGTCTGTTATGAAAGCGTTCAAGGGTCTCAAGAAAGAGCTGATGGATGTAGCTGTGGTTACTGTCTACCCCAGCATACCCCTTGTTAGGTCAGATCCTAACGAACAACTCAACCTTTTGTAATATTTTACTGAGATTGCATTTCCTCTGTTATAGCTAGCTGAGCCGCAACGCCCTTTTCTTTCATTGGTTTATCCGTAATACAGCTGATCTTCATCCGGTGTCCTTTGTCTCTTTCCTTGAGGTCTTCCACTCAAGTACTTGGATTGTCATACACGATAGGATAAGTTCCATCGATCTCCTAAATCACCCAGCTAATTCTCAGTTACAACACCTCTGATACTCGAAACTGATGCATCTGACGTTGCAATTTCCGCTACAATCAATCAGGGTGGCAGATCGGTCGAACTGTTCTCATATACACTGTCGGCCGGTGAAAAATATCACTGTGCGCAAATGGAAAAATTACCTACCTGGGACTCATCTCATGATTGCAACAGATCAACGGTCAGTTGTGTCCATGCATTCAACACAGTAAAAAGCTTAAATGGAAACGACAAAATCCAACGATGGTGCACGGAGTTACCGCCTTTTACTTTTGACGTAACGTAAAGAACAGGTGCCGGGGACAAAGCAGCTGACACGCTCTCTCGGAGTACCTGTGCGGACAGTTCATCTAACCTGGATCTAAAACGCTTACACGCAACACTGTGCGAACCTGAAGCAACAGGCATGATACCGAGAACCTCCTAGTCCCCATAGAAGACATCCGAATCGTCATTAATCAACGCCATGTGTGTGCGGAATTAACACAATCTTTACACAGAGCCAATGCATTTTCATTACGACTAAAAGGACACCAAGCCAGTCATTGGGAAACCGTCTTACAAGAAGTTCGATTCGTCCTTTGTTGTAAACCGTTATCAATACAACTCTACATGAGGGAATGTTCCATCATAATCGAAAATCCGCAGTCGGCACATCATTGCCGCAGTGGTTACTTTCGCCAGCACAAGTTCTGATTCAACAAAATAAACGATCTTCAAGATATGACCCAATAGTAGAAAAGGTTGAGCTCCTGGAGTGTGACCCTGAGTGCGCATATATTCGATACCCTAACGATATAGAAGAAACGGTACCCTTACACCTTCCTTAGATTTTGGATACGCTTGAGTATCGGAACATCAGCAATCACAGCCTCATACTGATTTGTTTATTAAGCCGGAACTACCTGACTCCTCTGCTTCGGAAAATGGAATGTCGAATCATCCCGAACACCCGTTAGTGGTACAACAAAAGCGGACACAATCCCATTTCCAGAGAAACAAAGTCTAACATTAATCTATCATAAAATGAACTACGACCGTTAATCGTTTAATCACTTTTGACCGGTTTAGCTCGCAGTGTCAAGATTTTGGATAGATAAAGCCTAGCTTTTAGTCCTTTGGTCTTCTCCATTCGTACTCTGATTGTGGCCACGATCCCTTCCCCGTCAAACAACACTGGCCAACACAGTCCCTTGATCCCCCAGGTTAGGGGTTGGAACATCGGTGGCGAATGGTTAAAAATGGTAATCTACTTGTATTTCCCGCCAAAGTCGCTACCGTCTAGTCAGACTTTTGAACCAAAGAGTTTGAGAACCTTAATCGTCCTCTTATCTATGTGCGGATGCCTTACCAGTATCCCAGCCCACGTACAACCACGAATTGCGCACTTATAAGTAACCTCATCCCAAATCGGCCAACGTCAAGTGTTCTCACCTGGGTCACCTTATTTGCAGCATACAGCTTGGTGGGTTAACTAAAACTTACTACTGCTGACGCATCCCTTCTTACACGTTCACGCATTCCCTCTTCTACATCATCATCATCATCATCATCA